CGCTGCAGACTGCCGCCCCGTGGCCGCTCTAGCATAGCAAACTGATCGCCCGCCGAAGTGCTCGTGTAGCGGGGAACGCGTCACTGCTGAAAAAAAAAAGATACTTTTTGTTTGTTTGTTTTTAACGGAAACTGGGCTTTATTAGCAGTTTCTGTTGCTGTGCCCCCGGTACGGAGTGGCCGGACGCGGGGGTGGGAGGAGCGCGCCGCTCAACATAGACAGCGGTCGGTGAAGACGGTTGTGAAAGTCCGCTGTGATGCGGATTTTTTCACTTTTAAAATACTCAGTTCTGTAGTGTGGGATTTTCTGTTGTTCAAAGGTTTTTGTCTTGATTGTGTGCTCGTTTAATCTGAAACCCGAACACATTTTTCACTTTTGAACAAGCTTCATTTTCACTGTAAGATCCTTCTCTCCTTAAGTCATCTTTAAAACTGATGATTGGGGTAAAACTTTACCCATCTTTGGAGATGTGTGGAACTGATATTTGGTAACAATTTCATACTGATTATACGAATTTGACTGTTGTATCCATAGTTTTGGTGACAATGTTGTTTTGGCTGCATAGCGTTAAGCTTAATTTACTTTTTTAAGTCCTTTTACTGATGGTAAGTTTGTTTTCAGATATTTGTTTTCTTTTTTAACTTAGTTGAGACAATGACAGACTTTGAAAAGAATCTCAAGCAGGACATGATTTCTCAGCTGCATAATTTCGCTGCTGTTGGAGATACAGTCGGATTGAAAACATTGCTCGTTCGCTCTCCATCACTTATTAATGCAACTGCAGAGAATGGCTGGACAGCCTTGATGTATGGTGCCAGAAATGGACATTTTGAGGTTGTGCAAATTCTTCTTGAAGAAGGGTAAGCTGTTTAGTGGATCCTATAGAAGAGCTCTAACCTGAATCCCTTTCTGCCTGTTTAATCTTTACAGTAGAAAAATATATTTATCCAATAGATAGAGGAAGAATTTCCAGGTTTAAAATTCAGAAACGTTTTTTCTTCTGTCAGTGCGACACCAACCATTTTCATAGCTTTCCAAAGATATATTATCATATCTGTTGTCTATCTTGAAGTAAGCTGCTGTACTCCTACTTTTTTAAGATACTGAAGAAAAGCAAATGATGCCTCAAAGCTCTGCTTGAGACCCCAAAGAAGATTCGTCTAAATCCTGAACAAAATGAGGATCCAAATGTTTCAAATGGAAAACGTTTCAAAAGGAAGCATGAGCATAAGGTGTTCTAGTTCAGCTGAGCTCTGCATTAATCAAGACCAATCTGCTCCTTTCTGCACCCCTAATTAGAGAACCAAGCAAGATTAGTTCAGTATGTAATTGAGGATGAGTAAGGTGAAATGTGGCAGTCCACAGGCTCCAGGAGTCATCCCACCCTTCTTATCCTCTTAGAGAAATGATACATCTTCTGCTGGGGCTCAGCATGGAGTGTCAGATGAACTGCTATTTTGGCCTATAATTAGCATATTCTAGCAAGCAGGAAAATACCTATGTGCCAGATTTTGTGGACTGAAATCTTGCGTGTACTGAAGAACCTTTCTCCTTGAGGTTTTGGGGGTTTTACCACTTTGCATATTGTAAAAAAGAACAAATTTCCTTTTGTAAACATCCTTTTCAGGAGAGTTCTTGCAGGCAATTTCAGTACAGTTGCTGATATGATTCTGTGGCCTCTTTAGTCTAATTTTAGTCATATTTAGCCATAATAATCATTTAGACTAATACATTGCTGGATGTATAAACATGAATGTCAATAGAGCTATGAAGGTGAAATTAGAAAACTTCCAAAGACTAATCCTGGAAATCTTTTTTTTTTTTTAATTCGTCTATGTTTGAGAAAAGCTACAAGAAATGCAAGAAACGTTTGAAGGCTGGAAAAAAGATCTTAGTGATCTAAATAATTGAAGCCACTGTTGAGGACACTGAATAGCAATTTGATCACAGCCAGCACATACCCGAGTAGGCAGAAAATAGAGGACAAAAATCACAAAAAAATCGGTAGTTGAAAATAGGAAATTAAACAGGAAATAACGCAAGATTTTACAGTAAGGATAATTAATGTGAAAACATAAATAGACAACAATAGTTCCTTTAGCACTAAAAACTTTTAAATTAAAACTTGAATGCTTTTGTAAAGTATATTCAAATTCTGTCAAAAACTATTGAGTTTAATATAAACTCTGAAGGCAAAAGTCTTGTCTGTGTTAATACATTCATGTTGTTGATACTGGCCTCATGTTTTAAAAACAATGGGCTACTGAGGAAATTTTGTTTGTGCTGTGGCTTTTATTCTGAGGCTTGGTAATTTTTACCTAAAAATATTGATTTAGCACAGCATTTTGGCATCTTGGCTTCCCTTGTTTTTAATAAACTGGAAAGTTCATAGGGCGTAAATTGATTTTTGACTCGGGAAGGTGAAACCTTTACACTCCTTAGGCTAGCAAGTCAAAGGCTCAAGAAATTTAGGTATGTTTTGACAGTTGACACTAACTAACCCAAATTAAGACATCACTTCCAGAAAGTGGTATCACAAAATTAAACAGTTATCCCCTGTATTTGTGTAAAAAGTTACTGCCAAGTTTTTCACTGATTGTCAAAAGCAAAATATAGTTGCAGCAGTAAAATTGGATATACTTCGCAGACTAGCGTAAAGCTTTTGGAACATACTGATGAGTCTGGCCCAGCATCTATAATTTGTAGCTTACAGTGATATTTTGTTTTTACTTTTCCACTTGGGTTAAAATTGACAAAAAATAAAAGTGCATTTTTTCTGACTTCCCAATCCCTATCAATTATTTTTAATAATTAAATATATGCTGTGAGGCAGTATTTCCTCAGCTGTTTGATTCCGCAGATGTTTTGGTAACTGAGAGAGATCCCTATAGGGACCAGCTCATGCCCCACAATTCTCAGAATGCAACTTCTCTCACTAAGTATAGGCCATATCCTTGATTTTTCTTAACAGAAAATCTTGTCTTGCAAGTCTTTTGATACCACTTTGGGTACCTTCTAGAAATTAATGCTTGTTAAACTGCGTGTTTTTTTTAATATCTTTTTTGTATCTTCTGGTTATTCGGAAGAGACCTGCAGCCTGGTTTTTGTAGTTTCACTTCCTCATAAAGCCTCATCTTGAGGCTTTTCTTTCTTTGTTTGTTTGTTTTTTGCATTACAAAATGTCTGAGGTTTTTATTAATTCATTACTGTTGTAGTACAGCCTGAATGTTGATAAGTGATAGTTAATTTGGAGTGCAGTCTAAATATGAAATCCAACATTAGCAAAAGGAAGTGAAATATCACTTTGTATTACTGTAATGCTAAGTAGTTAGTCTAAAAGGTGCTCCAGTACAGATTGCACTTCTAAAAGCTCCTACATCTTAATAGTATCAGTGTTACGCTATAAGTAAGAATAGTACAGCATTGGGACTCTTAAAGTTACTCTGGTAACCACTGTTCTGTTCTGTTTCTGTAGGTGTGACAGGTCCGTTGTTAATAAATCAAGGCAGACTGCTCTGGACATTGCTAAATTTTGGGGGTACAAGCACATAGCTAATTTGTTGGCTAATGCGAAGGGTGGGGAGAGGCCTGTTTTTCTGCCAAATGAAGTGAAAGAGTATGAAAATTACTTTGGCATAACACTCCTAGACAGAAGGAGCAACAAAAGAACAGATTCTAACTGGCTAAGCAAAAAACAAATACATCCAACTACAGTATACATCCTTTTCTCAAATCTAAGTCCTTTGGTTACTTTGAGTGGAGGAGTAGAGAGTTCCAAGCAACCAGAAGTCAAGCTTTGTAGGCTGTACCACAAGGATGTAAAGCAGTACTTGAATCAGAGCGAAGACGTCACCTTGATTTTTCTTGGAGTTGAACTTCAGTTCCACATGAACCTGCTGGCTGCTCACAATGGAAGGGTTCTGAAAGAAGATGAAGAGGACGGGCTAGTTGCTTGGTTTGCTCTTAGCATAGATCCCACTTCCGCTGAGAAATTTAAACAGATGCATGAAGACGCTTATTTTCTTCATCCACCAATGCCTGCACTACTGCAGTTGCCTGAAAAAGAAGCTGGTAAGGTACATAAAATGTAACTGTAATCAGATGTCTCATCAGAAAAATATGTTTTTGGGATTCGCTGATGTGTAGTGCAAAGACAAACAAGTGCTGCAGCGGAATTATGCATTTTGAGTGGCGTTAGAAAAACTTTAATTTTAACTGTTTATTAGTGACTTTGTGAAGAATTTTGTATGTAAAAACATGCAGTCACAAAGTAGTAACATCTGCAGTCACAAGTAATGGACTATAAAATCCATTCATCATCATGGTTTTACAAATTATACTCTTTTAATATGAATGCAATGCATATGCATGTGTTTTAAAGCTAAGAAAAAAAATCCTCTGATTACTGAGTTTCAATACAAGAAATGAAAATAAGTCCTTAATAAGAGTTTGTTAGATACTTACCTGAGAGGAAAAAAGTGTGAGCAATAGTGGCACCCAAAGCATTGCAAACCTGTAGCTTGGTGCTCTGCCAAGAAAAAGGAGGCAAGACCAGCCCTTAAGTATTACAATGTAGTGCAAGCATGGACACTAATGATATCTTGGCCATAGCACACAGGAGTTTTGTATTGATTTCTGATTTGTTTGAAGGTTTTATAGAAACTTTAAGTAGCAATGAAATTTTGGGTTTCCCCACCTTATCCTAAAAATATTGGCAGTTGCATGATCTTTCCTGTAATTTAATGGCTCTATAAGACAAGTAACAGTATTAGATTTGTATATTGAAAATGAATTGTTAATGTTGCAAAGTCAGGATCTCAGAAGTGAATGAATTCTGGTATGGACACATTGCAACAATTGTTGCAACAATTTTGCTCTTACAGAAGGATAAACAGCAAGTGTGTGGCTGCCACCTCAAGTTTAAAAGGAACAATGTGTTATTACGTCAAGATAGATGTAGTAGCTCTGAAATAATAATTCTGGCCACTAAAAGCAGTGTGATATGCAATTTGGACACTTTACCCAGACAAAGTAACGGTAATGAGAAACAGAGTATCTTGGTCAGGAAATCCCATGAATTCGTTTCTGAGCAAAGGAGTTGGGCTGTGTCCATGTAGTACTGCATTATATTGCATGTGCTCTCCTACCAAAAAAAAAAACAAACAAATAACTCATATTGCTCAACTTCTCTTATAGCAGATGTTTAAGCCATGGTCTTACTTTATTTTTAATGTTAAATTTTAATATTTGCTTTATTCTATAATATTAAAAGCTTAAATAAATTAGTATTTGACTGTATCTATATTCAATGTATTATTTTAAAGGAGTAGTAGCCCAGGCTAGATCTGTTCTAGCATGGCACAGCCGCTACCAATTCTGCCCCACGTGTGGGAGTGCAACCAAGACCGGAGAAGGGGGTTACAAGAAAACTTGCTTGAAAGAAGATTGTCCCAGTCTCCACGGTGTTCACAACACCTCATATCCAAGAGTTGGTGAGGATATTGTAAGATAAACTTGATGAAAAGTAGCCTATTTGTAACTACTTCCTTATAGCTATATACCTATAACTCCATTTCTTTTTAGTTATTTCAGCTATTTGCTTCTGTCCTAGGTCTTACATACTTATCTCTCCACAAGAGTGTGTGTGCGTCTCAGTGCTATTTAGGATGAAGTAGTTCAGGCTTCTCTCTCTTTTGGTGTAGCCTGTGACAAAAAATATTGTGACAATATCAATCTTTATTGCAACGCAATAACACCACTTAGATGTGGTGATATAAATATGTAAGTATCTCATAAATGAGATATTCGCAATACAAACGGTCACGTTTTACTCTCTTTTTTTCTTCATATTGTCGTCTCAACTACTGCAAGCCTTCTGGCTTCGAAATGGCCTGTTTGGCACTGTGTCAAATTTCTGATTCAATGGTCATTTTCCTGTAGTGCTGCTTTGACTGCATTAACCACCTCCACTGGCTTTCCCTTTTCATTGTCAGTCACTAACTACATGGCTTAATTCTATCCAGGATACAAACGTGTATATATTCTTCTATAGCTCCTTTTGTTAATTTGTTGCAAAGGAGGTTATTATAATTTCTGTGCTATAGATGGGGAAACACGGAAGGAAAACGCTTACCTGTCTGCATCATTCGATGACCATCTGCTCACCTTTCCTTCCTCTACCCTGGCCTCTCTTTTCTTTTGCAGTTGTAATTCTGGATGTTGTACGTGTTTATTTCCAGACTTTGCTTTGTGATAGGTCCTGTAGATATACCTTTTTATTAATCAAAAAAGTTGTGCCACTGTCTTCTCCCTCATGGACTATAGTGAATTAGTGGCTATTTCTTTACACTCTCTAGCACAACAAAGTCAGAACAGGAATGGGATTATACGAAAAGACTGCTGAAACAGCAATTGTTACTGATGCTTTCCTCTAAAAAAAGTTTACAGAGAGCAACACCTGAAATTCTGTGCTGTGCCACATGGCAGACACCTTTGAATAGGGCATTAATCTTTGAAAGCATTGCTTATATCGGTTGCTGAATCAAACTTTCTTATAGAGAGAAAATACTGACCTTTTGGGCAAAGAGGGAGATGGACAATAGCAAGAGAAAAAAAAATATAAAGGCAAAAGTAGAAAAAAAATGAACTATATAACTGGATATTTAAGAGTCTGATGAGAACAAAAAGGGAAGAAGAGGGCAGATGAACAATGTGCAGGGAGGCATTGTAAAAACCATGATACCAGTAAGAGAAAATATTAAGGAAGTAAGAAAAAGAGACGCTACAAGGCCAAAAATGAAAAAGTAGATAAAAATGCAACATCAAATGAGAGACTGAGTGGGAATAGTCGAAAAAGGCAAAAGTGGGAAATTCAGTCAGTATTTACATTTTAACAAGAGTATCTAGCTTTTCTATGTACATTTGAGTCAAAAGTACATCTTTTGGCTGCATGTGTGTGAAAGAGGTCATAGTAAATTGTGCTTGCTGCTGAAATTGTTGCTGTCTGCTGGATGTATAACGAGGTTAGTATTGCTGGTACTCTCAACAGATTGAATGCTTCAGTTGCAGGTAATTTATGCCTGAATTTCAAGCCTTGGTTAGTAAAGTGCTTCTACTAAGCATGTATATTGCAAAAATAAATGAATAGATATGTTGCAGGAACAAACATCAGCTAAATAAAATAACAGCTTGCTTTGGGGCACCTACCTTTAAGTGCTTGAAATCAAAATTGTGTATCTTATTTGTATTTACACGCATTAATATTGGATTGGCTGAAGTTTATTGCTGTTTTTAAGTCCCCAAAAAGTTGAAATATATTTCTTTCATATGCCTTGCAGATCCTGTTGTGATAATGCAAGTTATCCATCCAGATGGGAACCACTGCCTTTTAGGTAGGCAGAAAAGATTTCCCCCTGGAATGTTTACCTGTCTTGCTGGATTTGTAGAACCTGGTGAGTAATTTCATTTTGCTTTATCAAAGGATTTTTCTTGCATGCAAGCATTGTACAGTGAAAATAATTTAGAAATTTGTTCTGTGTTATGTCAAATGAATGTTTTGGCTTCCTGTTAGATAAGTTGTTACAATAAATATGCCTACACTAAACACTGGAGCAGTTCATTTTTAAAATAAGCAAAAGTCAACTTGTATATATATATACTTTTAAAATAGTTTTCTTATGCACTCTCATATATTTAAATTAAAAAAAAATTAAAAACATATGTAAGAACCTTTCTTTAGTAATATTTAGCAAGGGGTTTTAGTATAGGGGAAAAAAAAAGTTAAACTGAATGATTCATACTTAAAGTTAAGCCTCTGCTGAAGTGTTTAAGGCCTGGCCGATTATATGGAAGAGCAGCAGAAATACTATTATTGCAGAAAGAGAAGTAAAGGGACTTCTTCCTAGCTGTGTTCAGCAATAATAGCTTGAATTAATTAAAATTATTAGAAGGTGCAGAATGCTTTGTAAAACATTCTTATATGTTAAATACATCTTAATCACCAGCTAGAGTATAATGTATTACTATATTCTGTAATTGTGTTAAATGAATTATGGTGCCTGCATGAATAAGCTGATTCAGATATCATTTGAAAGAAGTCAGGAGGTTTATTTCTTCCCTCCTTTCTTTTACTCCCTCCCCCAACAACTTATTCTCTGATACTCAATTCAGTTATATAATACTGAAATTTAAGAGTAGCTGATCTGATCAGCTGATCCTAGCTGAGCTAAGACTCAGCTAAGTCGAGGAAACTCTTAGGAGTTCTCTTGCTAGCTAAAATAGTATTTCGTTTATCAATTAATAAAAAACTTGAAGAAATATCCACAGATATTGACATTTATGCAGAAGTTAGTCTTCTAATTGGATGAAAAGAGTTTGCTATATTAGTGGCTAGTTCTTTATGGGACAAAATGAAATATACGGAAGCGTCACTGTATATTGTAGTCTGTATAAAAGCTTTTGGTTCTTGCAGATCCTGTTTGAACTACTTAAAAGAATTTTTAAAATATCTTCAGATAAAGCACTGTACTGATGTGTGGGTTGTTTACTTAATGAACCCTTACATTAATCAGTGGTTACAACAGAGTACACACATAGATATGTAAGCCTTAGACCATCACCACTGCACATATACATCTATACAGATGTCCATGCAAATGGACAGAAAGTTTTCCATTGAAGTTAAGTTTGGAAAATTGTGTGCCTATGTTGAGCCAATAAAAAGTGAGTCAGGCACAGTGCAGAAATATGTGTAGTCTACTGTAGTCTCTACTACAGACTGTAGACTGCAGTCTGCTGTAGTCTCTGTTCTCTTACTGTTGTCATTTTAAAAACTTGATTTTCAGGTTGTATAACATGCCATTATAGTCGTACTGAAAATCTAAAACTTTACAGAATGATCTTTTATAAACGAACAGATTTATATTTCAAAATTTGTTTAAGGAACAATGCATTCCCTACCCATTTTTTGTAGTTTTAGGTAGAGTAATGTAAGCTTGCATATATGGTAAATTAGCAATTCAGGAAATTAACATTATGGTGGAGAAGTTATAGTACTTTATTTTCAAAGTTCCATTTAAAAAAAACCACTGCTTTGGTGGCTACTTTGACTTTAGCAGTCTTCTGTAGCCCATGCTTAAAGTGTGTGCCCTGATCCATGAACTAGATTTCAGGGCAGTTCCCGAGATCAGTTCAGGCAGTTCAAGGCAGTTTCAAATCTTCTGAGTCAGTTCAAAGTGCAGGTTGTAATCCTTGCTTGGAGTATTTTCATCGGCTACTTGTTCTTTGCCCTTTTTGATTAGGCGAAACAATAGAAGATGCCGTTCGAAGAGAAGTAGAAGAGGAGGCTGGAGTCAAAGTTGGCCATGTTCAGTATGTCTGTTGTCAGCCATGGCCAATGCCCTCCTCCCTAATGATTGGTTGCTTAGCTGTTGCGGTGTCTACAGAAATTAAAGTTGACAAGAATGAAATAGAGGATGCCCGCTGGTTCACTAGAGAACAGGTAAAGTTCAATTTAATTTCCTTCTTGTATTGATTGGTCTGTGACTGTATCGGTTCTGGCATACAATAGATATTCACTTTTTTCAACAAGTTGAATAAGCATGTATATTCTCCATTTTATCATACTGTAATTGCATTATATTGCAATTGCAAATTACAACTAGAGAAAGGCAGATATTCATAAGGGAGCACAGCAATTACTCAGTCACTTTCAAGCCCGTTTCAGAACGTTTTTGCCATAGTTAGCTGTTCACTGTTTCCTTCAGGAGGAATGCAAGTTACAGTTATTTTAGCCTACTTTCCTTCACAAGCCTGTGCTTTGTTTGCATTTAGGTGGAAGAAGTATTTCATGGCATTCATCATCTGAGTTTCTCCAAACAAGCATGTTATCAGATTTATTGGGGTGGGGCAGGGGAGGTTTAGGTTAAAACTCTGGAAATTCATTAGTTTTAAAATCTTTTTTCTGTGCAGTAGTAGCTTAATGCTCTAGTAATTAAATTCAGTTCACAGTGCATTAATATGGAATTCTAAACTTAGCTTTTTTGAGTATTTAAAACATAGGCAAACAGAAGAGGGAAAATAAAGACGTGCATAGAAAGAAATATAAGTTTACAAGAGGAGAAAGCAAAGATTGCTTATGCAACATAATCTATGCAGGTTGTCTTGACAAGCTACTGAGGAGCTAAACTTCTAACAACACTCTACTTCTGCCTAGCAGTTCCAAGTGTTGTGACTCAGTAAGTTAACTTGAAGGCAAAATTAGTCACCTACAATCTTAGTGTATGCCTGAGAACACTTATCTATTTTAAATGAGTATCAGTTCTGAATACAGCTAGTCATCAGCAGATTACTATAGAGATGGGAATAAATGTGCTTCAAAAGTATACTTATCTAAAAGCATACTCCCATGTTGCTTGCTCCTGCTTCAGGAAACCAAGAAAAAATACTTCTTCCAAGACCAGAAAGTTACATGTTAAAAAATAAAGAATGTAAAAAGCAGTGTAGAGCACCATCTGGTGGTCCTTACCATAATAAAGGCTTTACAAAAGCCCATAATATTATATAGACAGTAAGTGTTGAAAATTGTGTTAGAAAGTAAGTATGCTTTGAGGCACATTTGAGCTCAAAGATGTCAGAATTCAACATCTCTTCTCTATGTTTTTTTGCATCTCTCTTGGAGAACCCAGTAGTAGCTCTGTCATAGTTATAGTAACAGTAGACTGATTGGTTGTCATAGTATGGTAATTCCTGTGTTCATAAAATGTTAGATTCTGTATGATTTATAAGACTAACTTCTAAAGAAAAAAAATCTGTATTTATTGCAGGTCGTGGAAGTTATCATTAAAGGAAATGAGCGTTCTTTCTTTGTGCCGCCAAGTCGAGCTATTGCACACCAGTTGATAAAACACTGGATTGGAATGAATGCTAATCTTTAAATTCAAATAATTGATTTCTTTAAGTTAAATTATTTCTTCTAGTGAATGCTAATGTTAGAAATAAATTAGAAAGACCTGTTTATCTAATAAACATAGGACCACATGTATTTTTGAGCCTGCCCTTGACTCCAGAGCTAAACGATGCAAACTTGGGGGGGCGGTTTCAAACCTAAGTTCTAACTGGACAGTAAGCCAGTTACTATCCCAAGTAAGCAAGCAACAAACAAGCAACAGTGATATCTTACTGTGCGCAGGCTGCTTTTTGATTTTAGTGTCAAATTATTATGCCTTCCACTATCATGCTTTTTATTTTCCAGCAATTCATTTAGCTATTCTGAACTTAAATGTTTGATTTGGGCCTGATATCTCAAACAGCCCCCACTGGAAGGAGGTTTCTTTTTTCTTTTCTCTTTTTTTTTTTTTTTTAATTCTGCCTGGCACAGAGAACACCAAAGAGCATTTAATGCTGAAAGTCCTATCAGCAATGGTTATTTTTAAACAAATAGCAAAGTTAAATGCTGAACAGGTAGTATTTTTTATCTTCCACATGAATAACACTATAAGGAGAGGATTTACTTCACCTGTCTGACTTGGCCTCCACTTACCAATTATATGTTGCCCTGAATTATTTTAAAAGCTTAACACAGTACTCTGTTTATAAAAAATAGTATTGGAGAACCATTCCAAAAATGCTAAATAGTCACAATTTATATAAAGTAATAATGTACTTACCTTATGCAATGAGTTATTTCATTCTCTGATCATTAGAAATGGAACTGTAATAAGGAAGTGGATTATTTAAACAGCACATAAAATAATATCTCAAAATTTGTACAGAGTTATTTTATTAAAACCAAGGTATTAATGTTGTTACTGTTATCAAGAATGTACAGTTGAAAGACAGAAATATATCAACCCCATCTGTGAGACTGAGAGAACAACATAGCATTACAAATATTTACTTACATATTCTTAATGCTGTATTTCAAATTTGTGCCTTAATTTATTGTGTTATTGAAAAGAATGGAAACTATAGTCTTTCAAAATGGATGGTTACAAAAGTGTACTGTTCTTATTATTACTGTCATGATAAGATTCAGTAGTCTGTGATTGTGCAGTCATTGCAGCGGTATAAAAAGAAATGCAAATGACTACAATGTTAGTCATAAAAATTAACTTTTTATCATATGGGTTTTTTTTATTCAGAGTATGTTGAATCTTTTTAAATCTTTTTTGATTTTTTAATTTAATAATTAAGATGTGATTTTTTTTTTTATCAAAACTCTGGTATCAGAACAGATGTTTTTACAAATCCTCATAGTTATTTTTTTCCATCCACTGTTCATACTATTGCAGCATCCTGTTTTTAAGGCAGTGGTATCAAACTTTTTAATCCAACAGGGACTTCTGGTAGACTTGAAACAATTGACAAATAATTAGGTTGTTTTCATCCTTTCCTGCTGCACCAACAGATTAAGAAGACTGGGGAATCTCTTGACCCATCTGGGAAAGAAAAGGAAGCAATACACTGCTTCCCTGAAAATTTTCTTCTACCAAGGAGAAGAGGAAATAGGAAAAGCTTTCATAGACCGCAGCTGACAAGCAAGAGCAGATACTATCAGTAGAACTGAATTGACCTTAAAAAAAAATTGGAAAAAAAGGAAGTCTAGCTGCAGGTTTTTGATACCAGTAGAGGAGAACAGTGGACAGCATGTGAACGGGGGTGGAAACTAAGCAATGGAAGAAACCTTTAACTAGGATTACAGTGATAACCAAGTATTAAGAGGGATGAACAAGGAGGGAATGAGGAGCAGATGAAAGCAGGAGAATAAAGCAAGAGCAAATACAGAGAGTATAAAGGCAAATCATTTTTCAACATTGAGGTAGCTAAAAATATATAGGTATAAGTCCAATCTTCCTATTAGTTTTTCATGTAGGAAATTACGATGAATTGCTATAGAGATAGATTTGTAACTGTGAAACATAAGAGGGTGTCCACAACCCAATACTGATAATAAGATTCAGACTATTTTTTAATCATTTTTAATCTATATAAACAGATTATATACCTAATTACAATGCTAATAAGAAACAATTTGAAAATACCATTTTTACAGCATGAAAGTAACAGAAGAAGGATATGTTGAAAAAGAAAGTAATGTTTTAATAATTTCCAACTTTGAAAGTAATATTTTAATGATCTTTCAATTCTAATAACTTCTGGTATTATAACAATTTTTAATAGATCTACATTTAGAAATGCTAAATCAAGAGACCTTTTAAAACTCAACTATATGCATATACCCATCCTTTCTTTCATCATACAGATGAACCAGTTAGGGAAAAGATGACAAACATTCCTTGTTTAAGAAAAACTAATTTGATCATTTTAATCTCTTAAAGTTAAAATTCTCTTAGCGCTTTATTATCTTAATTTGACTTGTAGGTAGTAGGATAGCATTTCAGTTTGACAATATCTGTTTTCCAACATAGAAATTTTCTGAATGATAGTTACTATTTGCTGATTACACATGAAACATCTATCTTAAGAGCCAAATGCTGTAGATATTTAACAACTAGAGCAATTTAGAAAGTGCCAAATTAAATTTAGCAAGGAAATTAAACAGAAAGTGTATAACGAATCAAACTGGAATATGGTCAGGACAAAACCTCCAGAAGATTTGAGTTGTATATCTCAAGACTGCACCTGCATAAGCAGAGTATAGCTTGCTACTAAGCTAATGCACTACATTTAAAAAATACCATCCTTTGAACCACTAAAAGTAGAGAGGTTTTGTTCGTGCGATGTAAGAACGTTGTCTCACTATCTTCTCCCTTGTTTCTACTGTGGTACCAAAGCAAAGGGAGTAGTACTGCTACCACACGTAGATGTACAAGGAAGAAAATTTTGAAAACATGCCTTTTTTCCCAGGTTGCCTTTACACTAATGATTATTAACTTTTATTCAGTGTATAATTTGTAAACTTTATTTTATCTATTTTTGAAATTATAAGAACTTACGGATGATATAAATAATAATATAGTAAGGTGGACAAAACATAGACAAGGGTTGTAAACCTGCCACAAAGTTTATACCACTGACCAACCTGTAAGCTCATGTTAGAAATAGTGGCATGAGATTTCTACTAAATTTTCATAGGTCCTGAAATATTTCCTATAAGCATATTTCTTGTATCCTATTTTTCAAATTGCTTAGGTGTAAATATAAAGCAAAAACCATTCCAATGTGGACAGTGTAGCATGAACATTATATGTTGTGTTTTGTGCAGGAATATTGCTAGATTGGTAAAGAGCATCTTAAATTCTACAACATGTGAAAGAAAAAAGAGTGGATGTCAGTAGGCCGATTAAAGGTAGACCAGTCACGATGCTCCATGGAATTAAATATACTAATCAGATTCTGAGCTTAAGGGACAGAAATAGAAAAAGAAGTGGAGCAAGACTGCAAATAGTGTTGTTCCTTCTTTTATCTTTATTTTTCATGTATGTAATTTTATTAACTTAGACTGTTCAGACAAACCTAACATTTTTGCAAAGCATTTGCCCAGGTAAGTTGAGTTAATCATTATTTTTCTCTTTTCCTTTAACTGTTAAGAGTTAATTAACTAGTAGTTCTTTTTTTGCTTCAGTGATTGGAAGGATATGTGTATCCAGCACATCGTTCCTGACTGGGGTTAGCAGTGCAGAAGTGGATAAGTGCAAAGGAAAAAAAAATTTGAATGTGTTATCCTGTTAAGCCATAGCAAGGCAACCAGCCCATCCTTCATTAGCTTAGAAAACCAGACTATTCACAAACAGTCCATAATAGCAAGTGAGGATCTGAAAAAAAACAAAAACTTGACTCATAGTAACAGTAAGTATAAATATCTTTTTATTTTAAATAACACCCCTAAGTGTCGGGTAGTATTTTATACAAACTTAATTGCTGTAAGTCATCATAGCTTTTATAAAATACAGAATTTCTGTATTGTTTTTACACAGTAGATGCAGTTTAAAGATTTCAAATTATACTTAAGTATATAGTTTAAGTTTGTGAATAAATATGAATTGGTTCCTAAATAGAAGGGATTTTTAAGATGGACTTTAAATTCCTAAAACTGTATCTGTCATCTTATTTACTAACAGGTAGGGACTTAAAATGTAGTAATACATATTTTAAGAATTGAAAGCCTAACTAAACAAACTTCAATTTGTTATTTGTACTGTCTTTATCTGCAAAGACTATTTCAGATGTGGACGGTGAGGAATGCTATGTTAAGACTACAGGGATAGTGTATATTAGTCAATAAGGAATTTTGCATACTGTTGAACAGAGAAGCTTACAAACTCAATTTGCAGCACTTAAATAAGCATGGATAGGTTGGGGAGGGGGGGCCTACAATTTCCTCATCCTGCATACAAAACTATTCCAAGAAAAGCAGTTTTCCTTTCCCTCTTTAAGGAGAGAAACATTCTACCACTGGATCTCTCCCTCACAGTTTCGTGAGGAAATGTAAACGTTTTCTCAACACACCTACACTGAACTAAAAACAAGCCTATGAAATCTTAAACGCTCCCTTTTTTGTTATTCTTTGCCCAAATAACTCCTGTTCTTTGCAATGTAAATTTATTTCCTCTAGAAAGTGACCTTGGAAACTGCATAGTTGGAAAATAAGGTGGGATGTATTCTAAGTCTCCCCATTATAGAGAATGGAAATCCAGTCCTTGAAGCTAGGGTCAATTGTTTTTCCGCACTGAACTTCATAGGAAATGAAAGATTTTTCTCAGTCATAATTTATATTCTGTAGTCACAGACACTCTCAAAATAACTAGCTAACTCATTTCCAAAGAAAATTAATTGTGACAGTATAGAACTATTACACAGGTTTCTCTTGTTAAGCCGAATTTCAGGTGACTTAAAAGAGAGGTTTTAGATTTACACTGTTCTAATTATTAACAATTATGAAATTCAAAAAACAACCACAGTTTGATTTGACAACGGATTGTAGTACTCTGTTGGTAGTACCATCTTTTACCATAGAATTTATATTTCCTATTATTGGAAACAGCAGTGTGTTACAGTGAGATTTCTACTGATTTCATGTCCTTTTGCCACATCACATCTGAAGTGCATTTCACCTACCTGTTCTTGTGGTCCATGCTTACAAATTATGATTTATGTGCCAAAACAAAAACAAATTAAAAGTGACTGAATGCAAGATATAATGCCAAATACCAATACTGCAAACTCATTGACAAGAAAAGGACTGATCCAGCTCCTGTTCAAATTGGCTGTTTTTCCATTGGCCTCAAAATAGGAACAGGAACAGTCCAACAGTTGAGACATCTATGGCAAATTATGTTGAGAATTTTTTTTTTTTAACAGAAATTTTATTAAGGACAACATGATTTTATCCACTATAATAGAAATACAATGCACAATAAACTAAGCTGTCTAGGCCAGTTGTAAAACATTTTTTTAATACACAACATAATAAATATACGCACATCCCATTATATTAAACTGAAAAATGTGATCAGTAACTTGAAGTATTCGTTATACAGAATTCATGGTAAAATTATCAGGTGGTTTGTTTATGGGCCACTTTTACAGCATAGAGGCTACCTGGTTCTCCTTTTCTTTGGTATATAGAAAACAGTGCATATTTTTAAATAAGGGTAGAAATGAACTACTTTGATGAAGAAATGAAACATCTTCAAAATACAAAATGAATGTCTATCCTTTAATAATACATTATTTATTCTTCTTGTGGCCAAGGACTCAGAATAATTAAACAGAAAGCAAGATTAGCTTATTAAGTAGGCAGGAGCTTTAATTTAGCTTTGTAAGAAAATGAAGTTTAGAAATGGCTTCGGCAGAAGTTAGGAATTGAAACCTGGACCTATACCTTGTCTTCTCTCCCTAGAAAGGCAGAAATATACATGCATGTACAAACCCATGAAAGCTGAACTATAATTTTTGTATGAATTTGCTGACATGTTCATTCTCAGTAAAAATTATCTTGAAAACAGTTGACTGACTGCTACCTTATTAGTCTTTTTGTAAACTAAAGCAAAGAGCAATCTGTGTGCAGGGAAATCTTTTAAATGTAATAGCCAGAATGGTATACCAGCTTTTCCTCTAAAAAAAAAGTCAATCAAAACCTATTTCACCCTATATCTAGTGCCACTTAATGCTTTCTAAGAGTCCAAAATAATGCAAAATCTTAATTCCATGGAGTTTGGATTTCCTGAATTTGCTCCTTTATGGTACAAGTGATGTTCTTAGTTGCTTAGACGGTAATCTTTCCTGAGAATCAGAAATATAGTAGAAATACTAGTGACTGATGTTTGCTTATCTTTTGGTAAGCCGAAAAAGCGAGATCCTGATTCGATGTGGTTATTAAAAATCCTGCAGCACATTTCATGAAATAAAATGGTTAATCACTGGATCTTAGTACAATACCAGTTGCTGAGTAATTTCACTTATCCACACTTTTCTAGGTATTTAATTTGGATGTGCTATTCTCATATCTAATTGGGTACTGTCAGATAACTACCAAGTTCCATCTGAATGGAAGCTGATTCTTTGCAACCACACAATTCATGTATTAATTAATTTTGTGAAATGCTTTAGGGTCCTATTACTCCCCCATATATATATGAATGGCTTCCTGCTTCTTTTGTTTATTCTGCAGAATGAACAGACATTCTAAACATTTTCCAAAGACATTTTGGCCTGTTTTTGTCTGTTCTCTGGAAAACATACAGAGGAAATGATAAACAAATGAAAATAAGATATATATCAGCTGAGAGAGAGAATAAAGAACACCACTAAGACAGGTAATTTTGATAATGCACCTCTTTCCTTGCATATATTTGGCATAAAATACATTCTTTGGCAAAAGCACTGCAGAAATGGATGTTCAGAAATTAATGAAATGAGGAATAGTGGTAGTTTGATAAAGAGATTTGGAGCACCTTTGCAGAAAAAAGGGAAAATGGAAGATAATTGAATAAGAGGTATTTAAATGAGTGAGCCCTATTTATCTGTGGTTTATCTGCTTCAGTGTGTAAACACCAACACAAGTAATATGCTGCAGAGCTCAGTCAGTAAGGAGGGCAAAAGGAGGAATTCACAAGGAAAAATAAAGCTTTAAGAATAATTTAATAGGAGGAGAGAAAGGGAGAAACCTAAGCAGTGAGAGACTGAGTCAAACATAATTGATAACTTGATAGAGGAGCAGAATCAAAACAAAGAAAACAAAGATTAGTATGCAACAGAAGGATATTGAGAAATACAAGAAGCAAGAGACACAATGGAAGGCAATGACAGCAAAATCTGGTATACAGATTTGGAGAGAAAGTCAGATGCCATATCCAAAAGGAGGAAGTGTATCAGAAGGGGCTGATATGGGTGAAACACAGAAGGGAAGGCCGTAGAAGGCTTGTAATTCAGAAACAGTTGTTTGAGTATTCTGAGACATTGTTCTTGTACAGTCTGAGAAAGGTGAAATATTTTAGATATAAGATTTAACAGGGAGGTAGTCAGTGAGCTGTCACTGAAAATATATTTATAGCTATACATTCTACAATATAAGATGATGAAATTACAGAAAATAGATTTACCACCCAAAAAAGACAATATTATCCTGAAAGAACATTAAACATTTTACAAATGTATTGTGGCACAATACCATTCTGATTCAACATTTCTTGTGTCATTACACATGAATAATTTCTTCTATGTTTTTCCTGGCTTTTTTTTTTTTTTTAAGTTTACTTTGCCTTTTCTGCCAGTGTCCTCTCATTACAATCTAGCTTCACTAAACATGCTTATTCATAAAACTTAAGAAAACAAATGTTTCCAGATCTCCATTATATAAATAATATGAACATGAAATAAAATTATTGCTGTGTTTTCAGTTCTTTCTTTCAAGTAAGTTTTTTTTAATGCAGCTACTCCTGCCTAACAACATGATCTCAGAAGCATATGTTAGTAAAAGAAAATATGTTGTTATCCATATTATTATCACAAAGCTTGCCATCACCCACATTAGCCTGAAAGAAATACTATTAGCAATGCTGTTCACAGTGAAAATAAACACATTCTAGAAAGATTTAACTTCTGCTGTGGTGGGGAGTGATCTTTCACTCAAAATTTAGTTATGGAGTCGCTTACTGCAAGCTAACCTAAGCACTGCTGTTTGTAGCAAGAATAACCTGTCACGTACAGCACTATGTCAGTGGATGCTGGCTTCTATCCAGCTGCTGAATGCCATTATTCTCATTTAAGGTAATTGGACTAAGTGAACACCCAGCTTCTCCCAAGAAGTGTCCAGCAGTGTACAGAATTGTCCCTAATTAAGGGTCTTGCCCTGCAATCCTGATGCCTTCAACTAATCATTACTCAAGGCAATGAGACCACTCATGTGACTAGGATTGAAGCTGATGAGATTCCTAGTTCAGTTAAATTCAGCACATCTGAGTTGCAGAACTAGCAAAGCAAGAATAAACAAAGAGAATGCAAAGAAAACATACATAGAAAACATGAGTGAAAAGGAAGAGCTGGTGCCTCACCCTTTTCTGAAAAGGGTTAAAGGTTCTTTTCAATGTTTACTTGCAATTTATTTTAAGATATCAGTGATTTAATGCATGCATCTAGAATTTAGATCAGTAATACATAAGTATGAAAATTAACAAAGGAAACTGTAATCTTCATCACAAAAAAAAAAGTCTAAACATTCACCCTACATTAAAGCTTTCATCTACTTTTCCTTTCTAACTAAGCACAAAAATTTAAAAGCAACAAGAAAAAAACAAAAGCAGAAAAAAACCAGCTTAATTCATACTGGTCACCTAGGTCTTACTCCTTACCTTTGACCACATGGCAAAATCTGTAGTCCTGCCGCTGGGAGCGACTTAGTCTTGTGGTAATTCCTGTTGGTGGCGCTCACTGTTGCAAATGGAGGGAGCTGAGGAAGGGGAAGGGATGTTTACGGTTTTCCTTAGGTTGAATTGAGAGAAATCCTAGAAGTAAAATATTTTCTCAATTACAATTTAGTAGAATAATAAAACATCAGTTATCAAAGTCAGATTATGGGGGTCTGTTAGCTTGCTCCTTCTGTAGTCATAAATAGATGCACCAATCTACAAATAATGATTAACATAAGGTAACTCTAAAAATGAGTTGGACACACTCAATATACTAGCATATGTAATTGTTTAATAGAACCTTGATTATTAGGTGGAACTGACAGGCATTGCCTCACATTCAAAACTAGAGCTAAATGTTGGTCCCAGCCCCTGCCTCTGTGTTCTTTAAACCCGCATATTTGGCTTTCAGATCAGATTATTCTTCCCACTGAGAACAGCGCTCAGCTGGCATCATGTGTTGCCTCATCTAGCCTTGTAGCACTGAATTTAACACCTTCAGGCAGGCTTGGCTATCTGTCAAGCTTTGACTAATGACACCTGGAAAAAACAGAGGGGGATAGTTTCATTTTGAAAATTGACAACGTAAACATCCCAAAGTGTCTGCTGTGAAATAAATATGCAGCTTTCTCCAACTCTCAAGACTATCTTCCAAAATAGTGGGGGGAAATGCTTATATTTTTCCAGCCAACTAATGTACATATTAGTGCTCTGACACATCCAGTCATTTAGCCTTCCACAAAATTAAAAAATTTTTTGGTAGAAGTCAGTGACTATGTCTTGAAAGAAGAATTTATTCCTAATTGTTTGGCTAGCTACATATGACTACATACAGTGATAGGTAGCATGACTCTCACATTGTCTATGCAATGACTTTAAAAACATTATTCTAATCTTAATTTTTGTAACAAAAATCCATACATCTACATTACACTACATCATCACATAAGTTTACAGCCTGAAAACTTCACTCATGCGCTTTCCAACATGATTACTTTTACAGTGACAGAATTTCACATTTTATGAAAGAAAAGCTTGCAAATCAAACTGAATCAGAAAACACATTAAGACTTTGAAATTAATATCTTTATTTTTTATTCTTTATACACACCAAGTCTTTCAGGTAACTAAAATGACAATTTATCTATTATCTTTAGAAAACTCAAAAGAAAACCATAGAGTTATTTTATTAACTTTTGTTGTACTAATGTATGATGATGATGCACTTGATGTATTGATGAGTAATCATCATCTAAAGATCATTGCAGCTACCATCACTTGCAGTCAGGATGATATTTAAAGATATATTGTATAACTCTACTGATTTTCAAAACTATCCCAATAATATTAGCAGTTCAAATACTTCTAATTTCAAATAATGTGAATTATCTATTCCGTAGGTCATCAAAATACAATAGAAAATCTTTAGTTTTTTTTTTTTTTATAGTTTATTTTTTATATATTGTATAACTCTACTGATTTTCAAAACTATCCCAATAATATTAGCAGTTCAAATACTTCTAATTTCAAATAATGTGAATTATCTATTCCGTAGGTCATCAAAATACAATAGAAAATCTTTAGTTTTTTTTTTTTATAGATTATATTTTCAATACTGTGGAAAAAAGCAGTTGTAGGTTTTGGCCAACCAACTTTTCCAGGAAACATAAGCCCACCAAATGCTATCCATTTTATATGGCTGAATAGCCCCTACATAGTCACTCTACAATCGGGGACACAGGCCTTTTCCGTCGCTGCCATGCCTTCAATCACCACTCAAGCTCCACTGCATAGTAGGAGCGATAACTTCTGGATTTTAGATATTCTGCTCAGTTCAATATAAATTCTAGGTTTCACTTCACTGCAGGAAAATAACTGACTAAATGTGGATGAACAGATCATTTCCCAGTTGAGGGTTTGGGGATTCTATTCTCTTATATTCAGTCTAATCATTTCTTGAAGAGAAAAAACAATGATTATTAAGTTTTTCAATATGTATATAAATTAGGTTAAATTAGAAATGAATGCTTAACACAGCATAGTAATGTCTAAAAATCGGAATCATAGGTTGGAAAAGTCAGCTACGGTCCAGCCTCCCACAAACTTCAAAGAGTGTTGGTCCAGGCCCCATAGCCGTTACCTAACAGACATTAATTCCAAGCTATCCCTTAGAAACCTTGAAAATTTGGCCCTAAATGATCAAGAGAAGAAAATAGATGCATTAGTACCTGCTCCACCACTTCTCTATTTTTCAGGCTAACCAGTCACTGGCGATATAGGAGAAAAGCCAAGTTAGCTTGAGAAAGTTAAGAGAGCCAAATTACCATAGAAAATCTTTCTCACAATCAAATGTTTTCCCTCCCACACAGAAGACTGGAACCCAGATGCCCTCAGGTTTTAAAAATGAGTAGAAAAAGAAGAAAAAGCTGCAAGGGCAGAAAAAGCTCTGATTCCAGAGAATGTAAGTTTACTGAAACATTTAATTTGAAGTAAAAAATCAGAATCATAGGTGTTTACTCTCCAGTCATTCATCAAGACAGAAATCTATCTTTATGACCAAAGCTGTTTCTTAAATTGGAAATATGTACACACACAAGTGTGGGTACATATAGGTAACATCTTGATGAGACTACTTATTTTCTGTTGCGCTGCGATCCTATTTAGATGCTGATGTTTAATATCTCAAGTTTACATCATTCTTGCTGTAAACTTACTGATGTTGTTCAAGTATAATAGCTTGATCTAATCCTACTTAGGTAGATGTCACTGTAAAACTATTATCCTCTAATGCACACGACCTATTCTAAAAAAAGCCCTAGCCAGGCAGATTTTTATATACTGTATAAATGCCATGAAATCTTGCCATGAATCAGCTTCCCCCAGGAAATAGTATTGTCCTGCACTTAGAACAGAGAGTTGTGGCTCATGCCCCCGGGAATGCTGCCACTGATTTGCTGTGTGATTGTGACAATATTCATTAATCCCTTTGTTTGCTCATCTGTAAAAGGATTACAAAAGTCAAGTTCTATGTAATCTACCCCAAATTGCAAACGTGCAATGGGATATTGATTGTCCCAGTGCGTTCACAGGAAAGAAGTAAATACTCAGAGGAAAAATGGAAGTAAAAAGGATAGATCTTTCTAAATGCAAGTATAATCCTATATCATCTTAATACTATAAAACTGAGAAAAAAACATGTATTAATATATCAATTTCCTGTAACTGGAGTGAGTTCCTGTAATTAGAATGAGTTAACATGGTCTACCCTATTTGGCTTTGTATTACTTATCAAATAACTATGTCAAAAGAAACAAACACTAGAAAGGAAAAAAATGCTATTGTGGAAAATACACTATACTTTAGAGCTAAAATAGGCATTTTCTATAAAAAGTGTCTCGAAGCTAACCACAGAGTTACTGCCTACCAAATCACGAGAAAAATGTTTTTCTTCTTCTCCCCCCTCCTTAAATTAGATGAACAATTGCCACCCATTTGTAAATGCCAGCAAAATCTAGAAAGCCTTGAAAATAAAGTAGATGATGAGCTGTCTCACTTCTCTGAGCCGTTAAATGTAAAGCGTTCTGAAGAAAATGGAAAAGATCATGAAAATAAGAATCAGAGTAGCTCGGACGCATCTGAAGATAGAGACCTTGATAACATATCAGATAGTGAAAAAGAAGGAAAGAAGGAAAAGAACTGCCCTCCTCAACCGTTCTCTTCTCAGCAAAATGAAATCCTAGCTACAGTAACTTTTGGTGAGTCAGACGGTTCATCAACAGGAAAAATTACACTGTGGGGCAAACCAGACTCTGCAAAGTCCATTAGTTTGGCTACTGGAAAAATTACTGCAGAAGTAAAATACGGTTCATTTAATATGAAAGTTGAAATTAAGAACCTTTCTTTGTTTGGCACTGGAACAAACCTTGTAGTTGAAAAAAGGAAAAGTTCAAAGAACAGTAAACGCTGTCATGAAAGACGATACCAGAAAAGCCAGTATTCAAAATATCCTAAGTACCAGTGTCCTTCAACTAACCATTCAGTAGATGACAATGAGAAATATAAGGTATCCTCTAAACATAAAATCCAAGCTGCTACTAACAAGGATGCCTCCCTGAAAATGAACATTGAAGGAAAAGAAATTAAAGTGAAATATACCAACAGAAAGAAAAATCTGATGGTTAACATCAAACCTAGTGAACAGGTACATAGCAAAACCTGCAACGCTGACCATGAAGTTATGTACTGGAGTGAAACAGATTACTCTGTAACAGAGGCACCCTGCAACACAGATTGTGAGTCATATTTTAGCCTTCATGAAAACGACAACCATACATTCCTGGATGGGTGCGTACTTCTCCCTCCACCTGAAGAGTTTGCTGACTATGACAAAATGCATTTGGATACTATTACAGAGGGGGTGTCTTTGTACTCTGAGAATGAGAGAAGAGACTCCAACAGCCTCTCTGCAGCCTTGAGAATTTGGGAGGAAGACAATTATTTCTGCAAACGTAACAAAAAGGAGTATAAAGACCACACTAGTGAAACGGAATATTTTTCAAAAGATAAAATAATTTCCTCAAAAATGAATAATAGAAACATTCTAGATAGTAATACCTTGAATAAGCCAAACTTTGGTAAGGCACTCATCAATAAGAGCAGTGGAACAGGTCAAGAAAGAAATATCAGTGACAACAGCAGTGACACTGGACAAAAAGCAGCAAGAAGAAAGTCTTTCCCAGATACTACCCTTGATGTACTATCACCAGTTCATCCTAGAAGGGATTCTGGCTTTTATTCATTGCCGTCCTTATCCTTAAAGGTATTATCTAAGGAGGCCAAACCAGGAGATGTTTACAGCAAGAACCCACACACTCATAGCAGCGATACAGAACTTTGTAAGTGTCCTGACTTCACCTCATCACTGAGAAGTTTGAGAAGTCTTAAGTCTTCATATCAGTATGCTTTCACCTCCTTTGATCATAATATTACCATTTATCCATCTGAAAGTCTAGATGATACTTGTTTACTAAATGACTATACAAGCTATATGAGGCAAAGTGAAGAAACAGAAGAAACATTAATAAAGACTCTTCATTCCAGTGATGCTATAAATGAGAAACGAGAAAATAAATATGTGGCACCTCTGAGAAACCTAGCCATAAGGGAAGAAGACATGGAGCCTACCAAAAGCACTTTAGATGAAGGGACACCAGTGTACAGTCATTTAGAAAAGCATGCAGATTTGCAGAGCAAAGATCAGTTGATACAGGTCTCTTCACCTCCTAGAAGCCCATCAGGTGACCTTATTACTGACAAGGAAAGTACTGATGATGCGGCTACCGAATGTGTCACAAACCAACTTTTAGCTTTACAGCCAAATGTTCAGCTATCCCCTGCAGAGCCTGCAGTAACAAAGAAAAGGAGAGGATCAGTAATGACTGTAATAACTGGTGAGCTAGAACAAAGACTCATCATCCAAGGTGACAACAAGTTGATACCAAATTCCTGTGGCCCTGCAGTAAGAAAAGAGCCTAAACTTCCCTGTAGTATACCAAAAAAATCCTTGCTGTCACCCTTGCTATTGGACCCTGAGGAGCTTGACACGGAGAATGAGTTAGAAAGCTTGTCTGAGATACAGGACATATCTGTGAATATCCTTGATGAAGCTAATTGCTGTAATGATTCAGCACAGGCTGCCACATTATCTACCTCTTCAGCATACACAGAAAAGAAACAGATTTTGACAGAACATTCATATATCAAGGAAACAACTGAGAACCTTTACAGCAAACAATTATCTGATGATAGCCTAAGAAGAGAGCCTGGAGCACATCAGTCACATCAGTTAGCCAAATCCAACTCTGATGAAGCTGATAAAAAGTCTGAAATGAAGGAAGATTTCCATCAGAATACAGATATCACCACTTCATCAATAAAACAGATTAGTCAGAAAGGTAGGTATTCTAAGACTTTCGGAGTTAATATCACTTATGCACCTTCTGTGTAGCTGGCTTAGTGCTTTATTGAAGTCTATTTGGGAAAAGTATATTATTAATTTACAAAGAGATTATATGGGTATGCTTAGCTATTTGGTTATATTATACAGTTATTGTGTTGAGGATTCTAAGAGCTTTCTTGCAGAGTCAAGTAAGTTTTAATAAAAAATAAAAGAAAAGTTTAGTACGGCTTTCTTCAAGGAGTGAGTTTTCTACATTGAACAATCAACCCACCTGATACATCTAAGTGAGAGAGGCAAACACCGAAACATGTTTGTTTTTGTTTTTGTTATTATTTAAATGGTTGCCATGTGACATTCTCAGAGCTCTAGTCGGTATTTCAAAACCACATAAGTATGTTTCTGGAATCCATGTGGTCCAAGCAAATATTGAATTCTAAGAACATCTCATCCTAATTCTGGTTAAGCCTTCTATGAGACTCGGAATGACCACAGCAGATCATTTAACCTTACTTCCTCCTCTCTGTATATAGCTGAGAAAACTGCATATGATAAAGGATTTTTTTTTCCCCCTTCACATGAGGTGTTAATCTGTTAACAAAATTTCTTATCTTCCCTTCTGTAATCCATCCACCCATGTCCATGACTGGGTCACTTAGAAGGAGTGCTTTGAATCATAAAAATGTGAAGCCACACTGGGACATTGCGCACTACAATGTACACTTTTTACTTTACCTATACATATGAATATGTGCACACACCTTTGTAAATCTTCAGTCTGTATTTTTGAAATATCATTCCAAATCTCTTGATTAAAGAAAAATTAAAATTATATGCAAATATAAATCAGATCATCCTCACTCACAGTATTCTTTTAACACGTACACAGTATGTAAGCATCAAATAATAGTAAGAGCTTTGTTATTTGCTTCAGTGAAGCTAGCATCTCAAGTACGATGTCTAAAATTGTCTATCTCCACGTCAATGCCAGATAAAAATTGTTTCTATTTTTTACTCTGAAGTAAAGTACAGAAAAATACACACATACGCATTGCTGAAATTTAAAACTTAAAAAAAATGTATTTCTTTAAGTTTGGAAGGCTGTGGAGAAATTTTGGCATTTAAGGAAAAATGGAATTTGAGGTTTCCAAAACGAGTTAAATGTGTGCAATGTTAATGGTATATTTCATACTGTTTTTTGTGATAAAATGGTTAACTTGGTAGAGCTAGTTACATAAGAATCTCAGGACAATAGGAATAAAAGGCTGTAGAGCCAATTATACTTACAAGAAGTTAAGCATAACTCAGTGCATGCAATACTAAAAAGTTAGTCATTGTAAGTCTGTAGAGGCCACAAAATAAATCTGATAACATACAAATCTGTAAAAATTGCACTAGTATGGAAATACTGTTTTTAAAGGTTAAGTACTTGCAGTAAAAACTGCTTGAGTGAATTTTATAAGAGCCAGTTCACAGATCTTTGGTTCATGGATCATTGTCATCTGTCCTTTTGTGGTAAAATGAGCTCACTATCACTTCAGTGTACATAAGCCCAAATATATGCACTTGCAGGTTTTCCCTATGATATCATATGAATTCAGATCAGACTATGCATTCAAAATAGATAATGTCATGCAAGCAAAGCGGCTAACATGCAAACATGCATCCACATATTTTGCAAATGTTGTTGAAGAGGGACCACAACAAGATGATGTTGTTGGCCTTTGAGGGACTACAACAGGGGGAGCAAGCACCCCTAGAGTCCAAAAGAAATGCTTCTAGGTTAAGTTCTAAAAATATGTAATTTTGCATTATTATCTACCAGAGAATAATACAACTTTGACTATTTCTTTTAACATGAGCAGATGTAACTATCTGCATATGTTATGCCATGCAATGTTAAGAGAGCAGTTTTCAAGATCTCTGACCTCAGCTGAAACTACATTAAGGAAGTGCCTCAGAAGACACCAGTCAGCCTGGAATGCAACCTGCCATATTCAATTTCAGAAGGCAATGTGTCTAGCAGGTTTGCAGACTAGGAGTTTCGTACTGTTTGCAAATATGTACTTTTTTATCATGGGGAAAATACTTTTTAAAATCTTAATAATCTTTAAAAGCCACTGGAAAGTTTTTAATAATCTTTTTTGTTCACAATATCTACAGAAAATATTGATAGGTCCTCCAAGTTCCCCTGTTTCAGCACTGCCAATGGGAATCTCAAAACTACCAAAAGTCTGCTATTGATATGTAGATATTGATATATGTATACTTCATAAAAATTAACAGAAAAACAATTAAATGAAATCTCTTTAGAACAAAGGTATGGAAAGAAGACATTGAAGGAAGCCTTCAGAACAAGGGGAAATTTTTCTAGCTTCCACCTATCCCAGGAATAGTGGGCTTAGAAGTGAAGTTAACAAGCTTGGAAACCTTGATAAGGAAACAACTAAGGAGTAGAGAAACACTGTTCTGAGTCTAGCGTGGCTTTGTAAACAAAGGACTACATGTTTTCCTCCCTTGCTGCAGGGCAGGCCATTTTTTTACTACTATTTTGTTCTGCCTATCTCAGGCAGAAGAAGCCTTGACTTCTCACACGTTGAACCTCAGTGGCTAAACACGCTGCACAGAAGTGCACTTGGCTCACAATAGCAAGGAATGGTTATTTGTTTTCTCTTGAATTTGTTCCCCTCTCTTTCCATTTCCCCTAGCTTAGATTTATCTATGTGTGTGCTGTCTCTTAACTATCACCTCACCTGGTTTGTGCCACCCAGAACCCATAACTTTGGCCCTCTGTTAGTCTATGAATTTGAATTTTGCATGTGTGTTATTTCTGTGAAGGTGCCACTGTAAATGAGTAAATGCGTGCATCCAGAAAAAAAGGTGAGCATTTAAAGCTTTAAAACTGATTAACGTGAATCACAGGCCACTTGGAATGTGGGAACACCAATCTAATTTGGCAAGACTCTGGGCACAAGGGGCAGTGTGGGGCTTCCTGTGCTCAATAATTGAATGATGCTGGAAGGGAAGCATGGCAATTTTCAACAAAGGGAGAGAATATTTAGAACAAAGGGGAAAAATAGAGCAAAACTTTGTGAACAGGATTTGGAGGAGAAGTCCAGGCAATATAAAAGTTTGCTGATGATGTGAGAACTCACTAATAGTCAGAGGGACAATGACTATTTTCACTAAAGTCAAAGGCATTTCAAGAAATCAGTTTCCTGACTCTTACCAATAATCAGTTGTCTCGGGAAAGGGGCTAAGTGATACATGTCAGTGACAGTGATCTGAGTGAGGCCAGAACGAGACAGAAAGGACAAGGGTGCTACTGAACAAAGAGATGCACTCTTCTCTGCATAAAGAACTCAGTTCTTCTAAAAAAAATACAGTTTATGAATATTTTCAATGTTTTTGGTATTTTCATTTTTATATTTGCAAACAGGCTACTCATATGTACAGTGTGGAAATTTAAAACAGTATAATTGCCTAAGCATATTCTGAAAATGTCTTACACATATTTCTCACAAACAACATCCGATTATAATTTAGACTTGAAATCAGAAGTGAATAAGACCAGAAAGTTACCTTTGTTGAAAGACACCAGAGCCAGCGATAGCTCCCAGGAAGAAGCAATAGACCAATGGGCCAGGAGACGGAAACAATTCAAAGACAGCAAAAAATGCAGTTCAACTGGAGGAAGCTCCATAAACAGCACAATCACCGAGGGATCAAGTGAGTACATTAGTCTGACAATTGTATTATTTTTCCGTTTTGTTCCTGACACCCTGTTAGGATTATCAGCCATGGAAACTGATCTTCAGTTCATAACCTGAGTCCCTATCTTAGTCATTACTGTGAGCAACCATACGTTATCTGATTTAACCATTCCTCAGCATGGAATTTGGCTCCTTCTTTCTCCTTCATACAAAACAACAAACAATCTGACTGATAAAAAGTAGATTGTACCATCCTTGTCCGAATACAATTAGGTTTAGGACAAACTCTAAACATAGAAAGTTAGGTGATTGCTCATGGTAGCAGTTTTGTGGGTGCAGCAAAAACATCTGTCTCATTGCCTACTTTGCTTAAGTAAGAGCCATGGGAAGCTGGGAGTTATTTTCTCCTCACTAAGACACCTCCCTCAGCTTTTATCTTCAGGTTTGCTACCCAGGTCGTCCTTTACTGTCCCTCCCATTACTGGAACAGGTATTCCTGTAACTGTCTCATTAAGAAATCTGTCACCTTGCCACGTGTTTGAGACTATACCAAACTCAGCAGCTTGAAATCTCATGGGAAGGAGTTTTAAAGGCGAACTGCTTAATGAATTTACACTTTGTGCAGCTGGAGTCCCCGTGCAGGGACTGTACAGTCTAGGAGAGAGCATATGTTATACTTCTCATTTAACATTGCCTTTGCCTCCTGATTTGCTACTTTAGCTAATATAAGAAGTAGATTTTACAAATGAAGATTTGTTTATCCTTTTGTTAGCAAACGGAAAAAATATTACTGATACTGCAGACACAGTTGCCCCTCTTAAAGGAATACTTTGTGCTAGAACGTCTACTTTTTGTGAAGAAAGTTTTGTTTACAGATGGATAACCCTCTTTTTGAAGGAGATTAAGTGCAAACCTGTATAAGACTGGCAGCTATAAGACCGGTATCTTCAGTGTAGGTCCAATACAACATAGACTGTGAATATGTTCCAGCTCTGTACTGGAGGGAACTTCTACAATCAGTGGGAGCTCAATTCATTACCTAAACATAGGTGCCTACTGCCAACGGGGACTCCATTAGGGTTCTGAGGTATCCATATAGGACTGTCAGATATTGCACATGACCTAACAGGATATCCATGCCCTTTTGAAGCAATAACTGCAGGGCAAGTGGGATACTCTTAAGACACCTAATATGATACTTGCAACCTGTGCTCAGGCAAATAAGCCACTCCCGAAGTTTTTAGCGCCCATTAACAAAACAGCAGGGATGACTGACTGATTTGATGTATAAATCAAAAAGCTGTTTCTTGGCAACAGCTTGCAATCTTTGTCCCTAATCAAGATTCAAGGCCAGCACAAAAGGATTTGAGTTATCATTACAAATCACCAGAGCCCAAACCTACCAGGAGATACATACAGCAAGATAAACTGTTCATTGACTTCAACAGTAGTTGCTCTTGAACACAGTTAGACTGTTACTTTTACTAGATGAGGCACACACAGTTTCACAGAGGATATACCGAAAAACCCAAACAAACAAAAAGCACCACACACCCAACTTGCAACAGCTGGAATTGCTTCCCTTGAGACAACACTTTTGCCAGAATATGGCATGAGCCTGAAGCGGCCTCTAAACCAGATGAATGATCAGACAATTCTGTTGCAAATCCTAGTATCTAATCATTTTGGACAGCATGCTACAGGCCTGAGACTTGGTAAGATACCCTTTCTGTCCCTGTCCCTTTGGCTGCTACCCTGTTCCCTGGTGTTTGCAGACTTGCGAAAACTCTCATCCATACTTGCTGGCAGGAACTCCTCAGATGCTTGATTCCAGTAGCCAAAAAGAACCTAAGTGCAACTCATGCCTCACACTCCTAAGATGCTAGACTTGACATCTGTACCAAGAGCTCGAGCAGAGGAGAGGTGACGAGACATCCAGGAAATGTCTTGGCATAACTCCCTAATGCCAAAGTGCCACTATTTCTTTCTGTGTGTTTGCCTATTCAGTGCACTTTGTACCAAACTGCTCGGTACTAGTCTAGGTTTTCTGCATTTATAAATTCATGCTAGTTGGCTAAGATATGCTTTAACTATGACAGCTCAGTAGTATCTAGTTGTTAGTGGCATTTTTGCAGTTAATCATGGCATCTCATACTTTCTGCACAATAAAGGAGAAGTCAGTAGATGTGGTATATTTGTGTAGATAGATACAGTTAAGCAAACTGTCAAAGTGAAGGAAAATTGGACTGTACTGGATACATGTTAAATGTATCCAGGAATTAACTTACTGAAGAAAATTAAAGAAAGGGTAATTTTTATCTTTTCTGTTTTGAAGTTGGGCATCATTCTACCTGTCACACCAAATACAGGATAAACAAAGAAAATAGAGCCTTTCCCCAGCTGCGTTATATAAGGCATTTTGTACTTGAAGGACGTTTTTTTTTTTCTTCCTCTCAGACAATTTATACTAAAGCATTTTTTCAGTCTATCCATTAATGTACTCTCTGACATTTTATACTTTTCTATGCTTTTCACCATTTGGTTTTAGCTTTCGAGTTGCAGCTCCCAGACTGCTCAGGAAGTTGCCATATCACTGCACAGCCTTTTTTTCCCCACAGTCAAACTGTTATCTACAGCCTGCCTCTCACTCAGCCATCTCCCCTCCTGTCCTGGCCCCTTGTCACTCTGAAAATTATTGTTTTGTTTTTTTTTTCTATAGCAGAGGAATTATAGAGGTCTTCACTGTCTCCATGCTAATCTGGGTGATATGGTTTGAGCTGTCTTGGACTGTTACAAGACACAAGATATTGTGTATGTAAATTAATATAAAACATGAATCTGAAAATCCAGTATTAATGTTTTGCAATGAAAAATATTAATTATGAAAGGATGTACATATAGGCTACTTAGACTATATTATAAATGTCAGTGATATACTGCATACGCTATTGTAATGAAAGTATGAAGGTTTCATTTGGTCAACAGTCCATATCCTATAAAGAAAAAGGGTCAAAATTCTATATGTTTGTCTGTCACATATCTTAAATAATGTCTTGCAACTTCATAGGACTTTAATACAGATTTTTCTAAAAACACATGGAACAATAGACTATTCATAGTGTACTGTAACTGAGTGAACAGTGACTCATTTGTCAAAAAACAAAAAAAAAAGAAAAAAGAAAAGAAAACCACTAATTTAACATACTATGCAGGGGCATATAAACAATGATCATTACATTCCAAAAACTCAGGGTTTCAGAACTTTTGTAGCCACAGTGTAGTGAGTGTAGTGTTTCGCATGGACAGTTAGTGGTCAACAGGAGAAACAGAGGTGAGTCGGTTAGCAGAGTAAAAGAAAAATACGGTATCTGCAGAAAACAAGAAAAATCTGCCACAGAAGCAGAGAAATACCATGTACTGCAACACTGTATTTCTCAGTATGACATTATAAAGATATTATTTTAACAAGAACAACTTTGAGGTCCTTTACTGTATGTGGATGCAATTACATTCTTATGAAACCTCATAATAACACAAGTAACATTAAACCAGGTCAAACAAATATTGAGCAGCCTAAAGCATTACAGAGGACAAGCCAGAAGTTCTATATCCAAAAATAAGACTCTTTCCTTGCTTCCCTTTTAATACAACTAAATACAAGACTACACATCTGGAAGAGTTAAGATTAGGCAAACAAATGTAGTAATCATCACTTGAGTCATGTCAGTTACTTTTCTGCTTCTTTTTGTCTTCCCACATGCACTGGACTCGCACTAAATTCCTATAAAACTTGTTTAGCTTGCTAATCAAATAGACCAGATAAGAAGGCTTCACAGTTAACTGCCTAAAGCCAGACATCTCTTAAACAGGTGCAGCTCCTATTTTGACCACTGGCGTTTAGACTTCATTTGGTATTTGAATTCAACATGCAATGGCACCCAATATTGTGATCTTATATTCTAACATCTTTGCAACACTATCTTTTATTAGCAGCAGCAAAATTGCAGAACTAGGTTGAGACATTCTGAACACTTCACTAAGAAGTTCATGGCATTTCTTCCTTGCTGGCTGGCTGAAGTCTGTTATTTTCATTCATTTTGCCTAATGACATTATTTTTATTTGTTTTATCCTCATGATAGTGAATTCAGAGGATGCTCGGTCAATAGATCTGGGACTACATTCTGAAAATGATGATAGAGGTTTCTATACAGAAAACTTTCATTCTGCTTCCTGGGTTTTCAGAGGAGATGATGTCTCTCCCAATAATAGTCCTAGATGTCTCAGCAAAAGGCCTAGACCAGTAGCAAGTAAGTAGTCTAAAGCTACAAGTAATAAATGTCATAAAACTCTATGTAATTTTGGGCACTCTGAGGATACCATGGGATTAACATTTTGGAGAAGGTACCAGACACTTACACTGAAGACAAGAAAAAGAGGAAACCAAGAAAGTAAAAGAGGATTAAAAAACTGAATAAGTATTTCTTTTTGAGCTAATCTCTCGCATAATACCATAATTGCCTGACAAAATCTATATTGGTAAGAGATCAGAATTAAACCTCATCTCTTGCTGCACGATAAACATAAAAGCAATGTATTTCATAGCTTCTTCAAGCATGGCAATATCATACAGGACTATTTGTGGACATCAGGTATATTTAATAGTCATAAAATCAGGTCTGCATCAAACTTTCAAACAGTAGATCAGAGAGAAAAACATAAAGCTTGCTGTGAGTATGAAGTAGTTTTCTTGTTCTATTTGCAGTTTAAACCCTGTCACGCAAACAGATACAGTGAATGTCTTTTTTGTTTGTTGGGTTTTCCTTTACTGTTCAATTGTTAAGTTGCTGAAAGGTAACATGGTTTGAAGAGCTGAGAACAAAGTGAAATACCTCTGTAGCTTTACAGGAGATAGTTCTTTGTTGGAGCTCATAAATCATTCACCACACACTGGAGGAAACAAACGTGCTCTATAAATCTCCAGGTATGAAAAATCTCCATTAAAATATATGGGAATATTCTATAGAGCATTTTGATTGCTTTCTCTCCCCAGAGGAAAGTCAGAAGTTCAGCAAACCACTTAAAGTAGGTATTGAAGTATCTATGCTCTTTTAGATAGATGATGTCAATTGGCCTGCTGGTAAAGAAACCTCTAAAGCAACTTCTATCTTTCAAATGTTACACAATTTGAAGACAAAATAACTATCATAAAATAATATTAAATTGGCCCTCATTAAACAAACCCGGTAAAAGAATCAAATGATCAAAAGCAGACACTGAGAAGAGAATTTGAGTTTACACCGAAGTCTGTCAGGAGTATAACATTTATTAATGAACCAGGCCTTTTGAGACATGATACTAATACTAGGCCTTTATTGCTGTTATGGGAAAGAGAAGAGTTGAAATGTGAAGTAGAGAGTTAGACCCTAATCCTCCTTTATAAGGACAATGATCCTTTTGTGTGTTGAATTCTGCTAACTTGAAAGACATTTCACATGGTACAGCCATCCGTAGTAGGAGATCCCAGTGCCAGGGGACAGGGGGAAGGGGTTCGACTAGAGGACAGTGAGGGAGTGAGAGTAGGGAGTGAACAAGGAAGGGATGAAAGAGTAAAAAGGAAGCAACTGATATCCAAAAGATAGAGACTTTCAAAAACATGAAAAGAACTGCAGTTCAAGAAATAGACTTAAACTCGTTCAAGAATTTAGAGTGAATTTAGATTTGCAACTTAGAGCTCTGACGCATTCATTTAACAGAGGGCAGGAGTGATTTTTCTTTCCCATAATGTAGTTGGTGGACTGGAATGTTTGAGTCTGTCTTTGCCACTTCAGCACAAAGTCCAGCCACTTAACTTAAACCGCTGATGAAATAATACTTCACTGAAGCTGTCTGACTGTGCCCTGAGATGAATGAGGTTCTGTCAATCTCAGTGTGAGGGAGGTAAGGACTGACAGAGGTGCAGTACCAAACAGCAAGGAGTGGTACTGAAACCATCCCAGCAACTTGCAGAAAGTATGAGTGTCGTTTCCTATAGATAGGAAGTTTTCTAAACAAGCTGCTGCCTGTTAAATTGAATTTGATTTGCAAAGAAAAAGGATCTCCTTTTTCCTCCACTGCAGTTCGTGAAAGAACAGTGAAGATCGCTAAAGGAACTGGCAATTACCCCTGGGGTTTCCGAATCCAGTTCTCAAAGCCTATCCTTGTGACTGAAGTTGACACAAGTAAGTAGTTGTTCTACCTATTAATTTCTGCTGTGAAAATATGTTATTAGTTTGCGTAATTAGTGGATATGAGGTATTTAATAAAACATACTTGCACTCCTGAACTGCTCGTGACAAACTATCTTAAGGACGCAGTAAGTCTGAGGCAAACAGGACACTAGTCTGTGTCCTTCCAATACCAGTTCATACCTTACGCAAGTGTCTGTATCAAACCTCTTTCCGGAGATAAGGTCTAGCACTCTGTGGGACTGACATCCATTAATGACAACAATCACAGAATGAAACAGAGGATGCAGTGAGGATGCACCCACGTCTAGAGTATGTGTACATACAGAGTACAGAGTAGAGTTAGAGAAGGAACAGGAGGTAGAGTAGACTCTGAAAGATTTCTACTACAAAAGACTTAAAACTGTCATCTCAGATCAAGAGTGCTAGTGAGGACCCACCTGCAAGGCATCTAAGAATAGCTCTGTTACTTTCCTGGCTTTTTGTATCATGTTGTCCTGTTTCCTGACTACATGGGTCTAATATCGGAGGCCTCAGAATCCATTAGCTGAACCCATCACTTTAAATACTGCATATAGCGCTACCAAATGGTGTCATTATTCAACTCCTCTAGAGAAAATCAGAAAAGCCAGAAATCTGGCAAAGGAGCAAAATGCAGAGTAGAAAATGACATATCTGAAAAGGTCAAACACTTTACTAACACATTGCAAGCTCTAAGACTGGTATCAGAAACCCACGCAGCTCCTTAAGGTCTGAACATTGTTAGATTTATACCTCAGCCATCATGTCTTGTGCATGATGCTATTGTTCATGACTTCTAAAAGTCATTCTAACTTGTTGTCTAAGAGCAAGTGTTCTGCTTATTACATGCTAAAAACAAAGCCTTCAGTCTAGAAGAGCAACCCATGCAAAGGATAGTCCTATTCAACAGGAAAAAAAAAGTGTTAGAAGTGATTAACTTATTTTCTACCAATTTGCAGGAGCTGACTATGACTTATCCAAGGATCTCTTGGATACTGTAACCTACATGTAAATAAACATGATTTTGGCAACATGTCCTAGAAAACCGTTCTGTATTTAAGCATGTACAGGCAATAATTCCATTATCAATTGAAGCCTAGCCAATAATGTCAATCTAAAAAGCCTTTTGCCTGTAGAATATTGTACGGAGGACCTAGTAAGATTGAATTATGGATAAAGTGACTACATAATGCCATTTATCCCAAAACAGCTACATAATTTTACTTCAGAATACTTTTTTGTTAATATATCTATAGCTCTTCAGACTAGATAATTTTCACAGTATAATTTAGGTGCAAAACGATATGGCATGAATCTGAGAAAGTAATTTTGAGAAACTCTTTCAGCTTATCACATTAGAATGTTACTTTTGAGAAAGAGCTTAAAGATTGCCATCACTCATGCTGAGTATTTTAAGAAAACAAAATTACTGAGCTCTGCCATCATTGGCCTAAATACCGCAACTGTGGTGATGTGTACTTCGACAACTAGCTGTGGTATCAGATTGCTGGGAATTCAAGTCCCTATTCATGCAAAGTTCTCTTTGCTCCAAAGAGATATTTCTCCTCCCTGGTTCCAAAAGATTCAGCTGACTTCCCCATTGTAAACATAAGAGATTCCCTTAGTGCTCTTAAATCATAGAATAGAACCTCTGAAGAGACCCTTCAAATTCAAATGAGGAGTTTTACACCTAAATGTAAATAAATTATAAGTCATACACACGGCATTAACCCTAGTATCCAACAAGCACTAACCCTAACACGTACTAATTAAAATGCAAAACTGCTACTCACATTGTGTGTCACTACTAAGTTTATTTGTATCTTTTGTTTTCAAATGTGCTTGCTTTTAAACAACAGACTATTCTTTTTTACAGATAAACTTTTAGTAAAATTTCATTTCTTCGAAATATGGCTGGCTTCATTAAAAGAGACATAAAAATTGCATCTGAATCGCTTTTCAGTTGCACAATGAAATAAAGACATTATTCTAATAATATTTTAAAGAGCATTTATGCTCATAAAATCTTGTATGATACGTTGAAGGCCAGCACAGACCAAAACACCTAATTTGCAAATGTGTTGTAATACATATGGGGGTGAACCATGGCTTTATTGTGCCTACTGTTTATTGTTAAGTTTTTACTAATTTGTTCCCCACAGCTTCTAAGTGACCTAAGAAATACATTGAGCCATCACATTTACTGATAGATTTCAGATTATTAAAAATTATACTTTAAATAATATGGGTGGGGAAAAATTTTTCCAGTAAGTTTTTCTCCCAGTATATTAGGAATGCTTAATTATAAATGAGAAGAAAAAACTGTGTCTGAAAAGTACGCGGGTGGGATTTAACCGACTGCATTAGTGTTTGTGAACGGAGCATATTTATCACATCTAATTTGCCTCCATTCCTGGCTAGCATTCGTCTGAGTCCTATTTTATTAGGAGCATATATACTTTGCAACAGTTGACAAATAAACAAGATGATACATTCACGATCCGAATCACTCACTCTTTTGTTAGCTAGTATGTTATTTCCTCTTCAAGTCACAAACCACAAAATATTATAACCAAATTCTGCTAACCAGCAAGATTTTTCTAAAATCCGTAACTCACTGGAGTAATGGATGCTCTTTCCACTGTCTTCACTGAAGACTGGATCAGATCTTTTTTGGAAATTTAGGCCCAAACCCTCAAAAATACTGGAGTGCCTACTCGCCTCTTAAAGTATTTAAATCATAATGACAGTAAATGACATTTCTCCACTGCCAGTGATTTTCTGGAATTGAATTAGTACTTAAACCCTGAAGTTTCATTTGTAGGCCACTAACAAGTTGCTCAGAAAAACTTACCCCCCTTGCTCAGAAAAGCTTACCCCACCTCCAAGTTCAAGTCATGAAGACCCCAAAGCATAATTCTTGACTGGCTGGACAGATATCTATTTTGCTATAACAACCTCATCACATAGATATGCTTGATAATAACATCCCTTTTTTTTCCAATTTTGATTCTAGACAGTACAGCTGAAGAAGCAGGGCTTCAGGTAGGGGATATTCTGATAGCAGTCAATGGAACGGATGTCACAAGCATGCCACATTCAGAAGCTGCAAATCTGGCAAGGAAAGGTGAGTTTGAAATCATCTTAAGTTACATGAATCAGGATCACTATACAATGCTCATAACATACCTGCAATATGACAATGGAGGTTACAGAAGACTCAATTAACAGTTTAATACATCTACACTGGCATTGCCTAAATCACTTGCTTTTCTAGACCTTGCTAGAAACATAGCAGAATATGGACATACTGACAAAATATTCCCCAAAGAGCATGTTTGACAATACAGGCAGCTTTTGGCTCTCCTGCCTTAATGAGAGAGTCTCCTGAAAGTGACTTCAGAGACACCAATATCCAATTTATGCCTTATGCTTCCTCAGGGGGAAAATTCACAGCTTGGTTCACTGCTCCCAGTAACTATTTCTGTGTTGCTGGGAACTGAAGTCTAGTCAGGAGAGCAGAGAGGTTATTTCATGAGGCAGCCTTTTGCAACATCGCAGAAACAAGCAGTCAGTAGTATTAATCAGGTATATTCTTCCTAGTATTGTGATGACTAAAACTTAAAGATACCCATGTTTGCATGTTGAAAGTCAACCTACTGCAGCTCTTTTATTTATCTCAGATATGGTTTTGACACGGGCTCACAGAAAATTCAATAAATTAAAATGCTTTTACAAGACAGTGACAAATTTATCTTGACACATACCAAGTTCTTTAATTATAGAGGTGCCATTCACACTGTTACATTTAAGAGTATGTCAAGTCTTTTAGTAGATAAATCTCTGATTACAGGGTATTTTTAACTCCACTAAGAGAACCCCCCCCTACCCCGGCATGAATCTTGGCACACAGGCAGCATTCCCAAAGTCAAATGTCCCCAAAACAGAAACCCAGCAAATGTTTTGCAAATGAAAATATGTCGTAGTCACAGTTCTCAATCTTTTTCAAACTGCCACCTGCTCTGAAGTAGTATCTGGTATAATCAGAATTTCAGGCCTCTAGGGGCAAAGCCATACATGTGCTGATAGCATCAGCATATTCTAAAACAGTACCACATTGCTGATAACAATATGACATTTTTAGCCAATCTTGCAGTCTAACACTTCTTTTGAGCACTTACCTTTTGCAATTGATAAGTGGGCAGATAAGCACAGAATAGGCTCCAACAGCAAGCCTCCTCTGTGAGGGGCATAAATAGCAGAAAACCTTAGCAGACTCCAAAACATAGAAAAGAAGGAAATCCCAAGAGCATATGTACGATAACAGAGACTGAAGGTGGCCCTAAGGGTATTCTCAGCAATTGTTGTATAAATCCCAATTTATGCATACACATCTGATTTCAGGCAATGAAATTTAGCCAGTTCTTCAAACTGATAAAATAAACTCGGTGCTAGCAAAAGTAGATCACAAAAGCTGTTTTAAGAGTTGTCTTCAGATAGCTGGCTCCATTACAAGTCCTCAGCACAATGTGAATTTCATCCCTGAATTTCTATTAAAAGAAGGCCAAACATTCTAGAGGCTGCACTAGGAGGAAAAGGGGAGGGGATGGCATACTGCCTTCGTGTTCTTCACCCCATAGCAGAGGAGTGTACTTCTCCAGGAAACTGGATTGTTATTTCTAGTTCTGACTTAGGTTTTAATACTCTTCATGTAATATTTTAGGTCCTGATATCTTGACTATGGTGGTGGGATCCGATATCAGCCGTTACCCTAACACTCCCAGGCCCACCTGTCGGGGATATTTGCACAAACGAACACAGTCAGCGATACTAAAGGGATGGAGGAAGAGGTGGTTTGTGCTGAAACATAATGGCCACCTCCACTATTACAAACACAAGAAGGTAAGGAGAGAGGCTGGTGAGTAAGTAAGCTGTATCCTGAACTAAGTACAGCACATTATCTTGGCTTGCAGGACTTATGGAATAGCACCAATACTAAAGATGTTTCCTGTGTGTGGTGTATATAGAAGGCCCCTTGGGCAATTCTGTCTTCCTTTATCTTACAGATATAACAGATATTAACTGTCAGGCTTTGATGGATTCACATTTAATCTCATAGTTCTAATACTAAAGAAATCTATGAACTGAACAGGCTCTGGGAGGCTTTGGAAGAGAGGAAATAGTTTCAGAAGTATAGGAGCTTTATATTCCATCTACCATTTTATGAATTTTTTTAAGCCAACGTAAGCATAAGTTTTCTCTGTGTGTGTGGAACTGTACAGAGAGATATGGGGCAGGCTCCATTTTCTCAGTGTGCTAAAGGACTGTAGCACGGCTCAGTGCCTCGTTTATTCTCTGTCATGTGAGTAGGGAGCTGTATCCACTCTTAAGCGCTGTATAAGGCTTTACTTCAGCTAGCTGTAGGCTTCTTAAAAGGCATAAAACTGGTGCTTCATGAAGAATAATACCTTACTTGGCATTATACTGAGGCTACCACTTCAATACGAAGTAATTTTACAATCCCCTAGCGTAGCAGTGAGTCTTAACGGCTTAAAACCAATGGCTTCAGCCATTGCGTCAGCTATAAGTAGGTAGAATACTCAAATATGTATTTGCCACAAAAAATAAAGACATGACTTTTTTTGCAGTAATTTTCAGTTTTTCCTCAAAATTTGTTAACTTTAGGGATCTTTGTTTTACAAGTTCACATGAAGTGCCTGCTGGACAGTTCCTCGAGATGCCAGTGGGCATGTTTCAGCCAGTATCCGGCAGGTGGAGTATTTTGATAATAGATATTCTTCACTAAGGGGAAAGGATGAATTCACCTGCTATACAGTAGCATCTTACTGTAATTTGCGAGGCAGTTTAACAGGTGCTGCATGTAACTACAAGGTACTAATCCCTTCCTTTGTATAACTTCGTGATGAACTTATTCATGTAGGAAGTTACATTTATAAAATTAAACAGGTTTATTTCAAAGCCTGCAGTCTGTTCAGAACATTTTGTAGTAAAAAAAAAATCTTGTAAAAAAAGATCCAAAATGATCCATTAAGCATTCATTTTCATCTCATTTCAAGCAAACTTCGTAAAGCTGAGACAATTTGCCCTGGTGAGGGATTCTTCACTACACAAAGTTCACGTAACTTCCAGTAAATCTTCTAGCTAAATCTAGGAATGACATCAGTGGAAATACCAGCTTAGAAATAGGCAGAAAGGGATTCGTCTCTCTTGCACAGCTTGAACACAGGCCAGTGAAATGCACCTATGCCCGTCCTTAATAAAAAAAATTACATTAAAACCTAGGGATGGCACCAAGCCCACGTTAATATTACGCCCTATAAATAGTTTTGGCCTCTAACACACTCACACAGTTTTTGGACAGCACAGCATGTAGACATACCAGCACAGACTTGTAATGCACATGAATATAATCTACACAACAATAAGGTGTAAGGGAATTTCAGCTAAAAGAAGATGGGGGGAAGATGGGATAATACAACAGGCTTCACTCCTAAACATAAACCTGCTTTTGTATTGCTTTCTCTACTATGTGTCATCTCTCTCCATTCCCTCCAGTCTTCCATGTATATATTTCATTTTTGCATGCTAGCCTGTTTAGTCAATTTTACATTAATAGTAGAGCCAATCCCCAAAAAAGAAAAAAACCTTCTCCTTTGACAATTTCTCCTTTTCAGTAAAATGCTGGAGACCAAATTTTTACTTGAAAGATGCTGGTGCAATGCTTCCCGAGAACCATACTTTGAGGGCTTGGGAGTCCATCTTCCTCTACAGTTCAGGATCTCTGATAACTCACTGTTATGCATCTGGTCTCTCCTCTTGGTAAACCTAAGCATAGAGTTTCATGGACCATACTATTAACGTGAAGAAAAAACTCCCATGAGGCACTGCAAGATCATATCCAAACTAAAATTAGTCAAGCTTTCAGGCATTCAAGTCTCTTGATCAAAACCAAACACTTCTGTGGGAAAAAGACATTTTGCTAGAAGTAGCTAAAAATTGTAGAAAGTGCCTCCTTGTCTACAATTTTCTCTCCCCCTGACATTTTCAGCAAACAGCCTGGTAGACTTATTTCCCTGCATGTGCCATGACATAAACACTAGCCAGCTTGTCAAGGTCATGCTGCAGAACCACTGAGCTTCACAGATATACAACAAAGCAGTCTGGCTTTCTGTCATCATTATTTCAGCACCAGTTATTCTAGTCTAAAAACAAAAAACAACATACGCTAAAAAGGATACAAACATGTAGGAACTTTTTTGCTTGGAGAGAAGTTTTTATTTTACCCCTAATCAGGTCATTCATCAAATTCTTGAAATGTAAAGAAATCTAATTATGCCTTTTAAACACTCTCCACTTCCCAATCAATTAACTATCCTGGAAGAAACAGTGTTATATAAATTGGATTAAGGATTAAAAGGTGCCCCATAATCTTACATTCATTTGTATTTAATTGATTTGGTCTTTTTTTTCTTTCAATCATTAGATTTATTTTTAAGGTAATTTTTTTTCTTCCCTACCTACTCCTATCTTGTTTATTGCCTTAAAAAATAGCTTCCTGAATCATCCCAACCTTGTATTTTGATGGCAGGCTCTTCTGCATTGAAAACACGCCTTTCCTTTTGTTTAAAAAAGGTACATAAATTTAAAACACTGCATAAATATTTTGTAATAGCAATTACTACTTGTTTTCTTGCATTACCAAAGACTAATGCCATTCAACAACTTTTTGAAACTTTTCATACAATTTTTTTAGCTCTCCCTCCCTCCCGCCCTCCTTCTCTTTCTGGACTCCAAAGAACACTAAAATATTACAGTACTTCTTAAGTACCTGAAAGCCTGAGCGCCCTTCACTGCTTCAAGTGCTCACAGGGTACTCTGAAGAGGCCTTTAGTAAGATAAAATGAAAGATGCTTACATAAGGATGCAATTCTTCACTACTGAAAGATACAATGTCCAAATCAGTAAGAAGCAGCTGAATTGGACCCTTTGGCACTATTTCTTTCTTTTGGGTATGATTTCTATCAGGGCACAAGAAGAATAACGTAAATAGATTTTGCCTATCCCACTTCCTTTTCTAAGAGAATTACAAATAATGTTCTTAGTTTCACACAAGATTTATATATCATGTCAACTATGATATTAAGTTGGAAACATTATGTTCCAGGCCTCATCTCACTTAGGAAGACAAATTCTTTCAATAGGTGAATATAAGATGTTCTTTAAAACAGTGCATTGAAGGCAATAGTAATTCAGGGAGACAAAAGTAATTCAGGATAATCTGCATATCACTGTCCAACAAACTTACCAGATTTATCAATTTTCAGGTATAACCAGGGCTTGATTTTGATGTCAAGGTCAAAAACTTACATCGGTGTAATTCCAATGACTCGAAAAAGGTCATGCCTGATTTACACCAATGTGAGAAGACCATCAGGACTTTATTTATGCCTGAAATGGTGCAGATCATGTTTTGTGGTTGAGAAGGTAAAGGGTTTTTTATCATCTGTTTTAATTCATACCAACAAAAACAGAGAGCTCCATTGCCTCGTCATTGCTATTTACAGGCAGAAATTATCCATCCTGAACTTCCCTTTTCCCACCCACGTTAAAAGAGAAATTGATGTTCCTAGAGCATTTTACATATTGATTCACCCATGTAATTGCTGCTGTTTCAGACTCATCTCTATCCCATCACATATTGGTGAAGTGATAAACATTGCAATAGATTCAGTCACTTTGCCTACAAGGTCATTTTGTTTTCCCCTCTGACAGATGATGTCACTGACCTTGATTCTACAAGCAGTTAGCCATATGAGTAACTAAATATATTTTTCATCTCAGTGGATATAGCTGTGGTTGCCAGCTCATAGCAGGAATATGAATACACTGGGTTAGATCCTTGCTTGGTGTAAATTACTGAGATCAGTGGAGCTATAATGTAACAGCTTTGCCTACACTTTGCAGCAGTGGATTTCCATCCTACACTCCACAGTCCTGGTCCCACATCCTCCAGACCACTGGGCTTTCTGAGTGCATCATTTCCATCCCTGCCTATGTGCCTGGATTTCCTCCCAAGGAAAGATATCTGGGCATGGTGAGGAGAGAAACAGTGATGTACACTCAGATCTTATCCTGAGAAAAGGATAAGATCAGTCTTAGGTTTCTTCTTCATGAACTTACACATTTCTTCAAGGAAAGTTGAAGGTACATGAGCATATGCAAGTGTTGATGCTTTCTCTACAGATAGCAGTGTATGCTTCCCTAACACTAGCATTTGCTGTTCAGCACAATAAGGTGATCACAAAGTCACCACAATGTGTCTATGATGAAGACTGCAGCAGGACAGAAACACCTGAATCAACTTTAAATAAGAAAAGAAAGATTATGAAAGCAATCAGCCACAGCAGTAGAGCACTGCTTCAATAGGTTAAATGAGTTCACACAGAGCTCTGTGCTCCAGCACCAAGTGGCTTCTAGAACCTGCCAGAACTCACAAAGTTAACAATATGCTTCAGCTTTCAGGATAAAAAACACTAGCCATATGAAATTTGTTAAAAAGAAGGAATAGAAGGCCTGGGACCAAAGTATGAATGCGCCAACAAGGCGCACAAAGGCTGTGGAACATGCACTCCTCTATCATGAGGACACTGCTGCTAAAGAGAGTGTTCTAGGTTCAACAGGAAAGCACAAGCATAAAGAAAATGTTACAGCCAAAAATATACTACTCAAAATTCTTCATTATAACTATTCACAATGTAAGAAGCTCAGCTAATTAAAGCTGAATACAAACATAATCTTAAAGAAGAATTATACTAATATTTACAAGACTGCTAAAAATACCGGCCAAAACTAGCATTTCCTAATTTCATCATTGCTTTCTT